CCGGGCCCTGTGCCCGCAGCGGCTCTCCCCGCACGGCCCGGCCCTGTGCCCATCCCTGGCTCGGAACAGGGAGAGGAAAGCGCTGGCAGTGTGGGCACAGAGCTGGCCGTTTGAAAGACACTTGTTCGACACACGGCCTTTGGACACCCCAAACCTGCGTGACCTCCCCCTTTTCCCCCTTAAGAAAGGAAATGTTCTAATGTTTTCTCTTGCATTTTCAAATTACTACTTTAGTATAACGTGGGGGAGCTACAGGTCTTTGTACACGAAGCCATTCTCTTACTACACAGTACATACTGCTGAATACTATATACATACAGCAATTGCATCAAATTATTGTATGCAATCTGTAAAACTCGTTGCACATCAATAATGGTTGGGTTTATACTAATTTTTTAGTACTAGAATATCCAATGATAAAATAACAGCATTACAAGGCTCATATTCTCATTTTCACATTATACATTTTTTATAGGCACATATGTATATACAGTGGCTATTTGCATAACCATTTCTATATTCCAAAACAGCCCTTCTGAATTAAAAGAGATTCTGGAAAGATCTGTTTGTTGCTGAATTTGACTTGGTATTTATTTCTTCACTGCAGCTGCAGATGTTCTCTGCAGTGCAAAGTCCATTAATTTTCCACGGCTCTTGGAAAAAGTCAAGATGATGGAAATATGAATGCAGCTTTGCTGATGTACTTAAAAAAAAAAAAATACAGTAGCAATCCATGTCCATAAGGTCAATCCAAGGTCATTTTGGAAAGAAGTGCAAGATGGGACTATAGCAGCAGCTTTACTGTCTTTTAAGGACAGATTGGAGAAAACATACACAAGTTGTTCATAACAAATAAGGATTTTCCAGTTCAAAAAATGAATTTTACTACATGAGAAACAAAGGGGAGAAAACACAAAATAATTAACCACAAGGTACTACTTAAAACAAACTGTTCAATATACAGAGTACTTATTCCACTTTACATTTTGTTTAGAGGAAAATCTAAATTACAATCTACCAATAACGATGCAGAAAAAAAAATAGCTTTTCTGGTACCCCTCAAACAAATTAGTTTTGTTTTTACACATTAAAGTAATTTAACAGAATTTTTCAACTGCTGCCAGTAGTGACCTGAAGTCCACTGAGACAACAACATATTCCACATCATTATGTGAAACTAAGTATAAAATATTATTTCTGGTATCTGTCCATCTTCTATTGATGTACCGTTGTTGTTACCTGGTGAACTATAAAAGACAAAGCATGTTTTGCTAGCAGTAGGAGATTCGTGGATCACTTTCTTCAAACCTTTTGTTCCATAATGGGAATCAGGACCCTGAAAAACATCACAAGAGATTAGCAACAGAATGGAAGTGGGCAAGACCCAAACATTGCTGATGGTCAAACACAGCTGACTTGGGTTATTTCAGAAGTACAAAATTTGTGTACCCACATCATATAAATTATATACAAAAATCACAGGCAACAGAAGCAAGGGTCCTGTGTCTAAATAACAAAATTGTATTTCTCTGACAGCAGACTTACACCAGTTGATTTTATCCAACTAGTAATGAATACTTTCTAGAATTTCTCCTTATCACACAGGCTGTCTGTATTCTTATAGTTCCCTGCCTCAGCTGCTTTTAATGTGCAGTATTTTTTACAACTCACCAAATTCTGATTTCTGTAAAGGAAATTTTATTTAGATGAATATTAAAATTTTTTTGAGAAATACATTTGTCCACAACACTATGGGGAGACTTTCTGAGAACAAGTAATTCTTGCCTATATTTCAGCACGAGTATATAAAAAGAGATGAAAAAAAAGCTGTTTTCTTGAATTTAGCTATCTGTTAGAATATCCTTGATAAAATAAATGAAACTTAAATTTCGATAGAGAACTGCCAGATTACCTTTTCTAGATAGTGCTTTTTTTCCCCCACAGAACCAGAGAGTTCCATTAGAACTCATTCTAACTCTTACATCAACCAAAAAAGTGGGAACGCACAAAGGATCAAGTTATGAATTCCATGCTGTGGCACAGAAGAGATACAAGAGCCTTACAAATTACAGTGGAATTTTAACTACGTCCTTCTTTAGCCCTAAACTTAAAATAAATTCAAGATCTAGAAGACACTTTCCCATCAGAAGATGGATAAAAGAATAACTCTTGCATCAAAGTAACACTTTCTTCTGCACTGCTAGACATTCTTACTTTCAAAGTTGCACAAGCTGTGTAGCACACCGTGGGCAGGATCTCTATGGGCTCTTTGAACATAACTCTGAAGGTACTGGCTGTTCCATCACAGCTAAATCCAGTGTCGTTCTGTCCCAGCGTCTGATTCTTCTCATAATCAATTATCTGGACAAAAGCATGAACATTGTATTTTTATGTTTACAAGCGTGAGAACGGTTCTGATTGTATGCACATGAGAAGGTTACAAGCAAACACTTGCCTACCCCACCCAGCCTAACTGCAAGGACAGTGCAATCTCAGCTGGAAAGGAGCTGTGATTTCCTGATACCGCTGGAGCTGACGCAGCAGCTCCGAACGACGGCTCGCGACTTCTACACGGGCTGTGGGCACTGCTCCAGCCAGGCTAAAGTCTGTGCTTGGGAGATGGGGAATAGCTCTCAGGCCTTCAGCTTCTAACCTTCATAAACAACATGTAATCCTGCTCTTAGATTTGCTGATCTCTGTGCACATTCACAGCCCACATGAGGGAATCTCATTTGCTGCCTGTGGCCAGTTTAGAAAACAAGTTTTTACAGATAATGTAGGCAGTCAATGACACCTTCATAAAACAAAACAAGAACTTGTGCTGTTATGTCTTATACAATTTATTTCTACTCTTGATTCATTATAAAAATTCTGTTCAGATGACACAGTATCTATTTTGCCTTCAATTTCACTGGCAAGTAAGAACCACTAGTTCCAATGTAGTAATAGCAGATTGCTTCCCATTTTGGATTGAAATCTGGATCCATGCTGTTCAATACCTCTTGCAGAAGTTGGATATCAGAGCTCTATAGCAGAGCACTTCTTGTGATTCCTGCACTAAGAAGAATCCTATTAGTTTTTTTATTTTTTTATTAACTTGCCATATACTTTTTAGTATTACCCATGCATGAGATGAAGCAGCTTTACTCTAGGCAAAGTGTACTGAATTTTTTTCCCCACCCACAATAAATAGAAATATTAACAATTAAAATGCTGAAGAGTTAAGCCCTTTTCACATAACAGATGTTTTTGCAGTATACATTATCATTGTTTTATGGCAAGTTTTAAATGTTTAACTCTCTGAAGCTCTGACAGTACTGCTGCAGAGCCAAGAAGAAAGCTAGAGGCACAAGACTTAAATAACTGTCTGAAAAGACTGTGACAAGAAAGTTTCAGATTCATCAGTTATTAGGGATCCTTCCAGGATAAAGAGAACCTAGATAAGATGGATGGCCTTAATATGAACCATAAAGGTTTACTTAGCCTTTCATTTTGAATCAGGAGGATCTTTTTCAAGTGAATCTTCCAATCATTCCCACTTAATATGCATTGTTTTACATTGAAAAAAATCTACATTCTTTTCAGATTAAATAAATCCAGCAAACATCCTGAGGGAACACACCGAATGCTTGCATCTGCTAACAAGAATTCAGCTGAGAGGCTCAAAAAAGTGAAGTAAAAATCCCCAGGTATGTAGCTGCTAGGTTCCCAGGATCAACTCTTTTGTTCTAAAGATCCTGTCTAGTGCACTATGCTACTAATTTACATGGATGTATAGTTTGACAAACACAAACTAAAGACACTTCAAAGAGAGGAATTTGCAAGTGAGCTTTTAAAGTGAGGAATGTGGAAAAGCCAAATTTCTTCAAAATGTCATTTCAGGTATATTCTGTTTGGAACATCATTAAGAGGAAAGGCACTACATTTTTTCCTTAGGAGACAGACACAAAATCCCTATCCTTAAGTACAGAGTAGTCAGATAACAATCATCAAATAGGAAGCAGAAGACAACTTGTCATTTAAACAGAATGTCCACTAATAAATTGAAACAGCAATTCCAGCACATGCTAGAAATCTGGAAAGATAGGGACAATAGAATTTCTGCCCCTATATGAAGTCTCAGACTATTTCACAAAATTTCTCATGCACCTAGTAAATTAATGTGATATGATAGCACCAGGTTATGAAATGCTCAGCACAGGGTAAAACTGTGCCAGTCATGGAATCCTAATATCTTGTTAGAAAGTTTAGAATCAAAACAAACTGATCTCTACAAGAAATTCAAAGAAGAGAATTCAAATAGATTGAAATTCCACACTCAAAAAGGGGGAAAAAAATATAGTGCTGGATCAATACTACTAGAAGACAATCCTGACCACAACATGCTAAAGGATCTAACAGGCTACAAGAGCAGGAAATACCATTTTAGTGGCGTCTTCAATTACCTGCTGGGACCAGGCAAGGGTCACATCAGGATACGAAGCAGGGGGACATTTTTAGATGCTATCACTGACCACTTCATGAGCCTGCTAACCAATTGCTCAGCAGGAAGAAACGCAACCCTTGATTTGGTACTGAGTGATGAGCAGGATCAGATTCAAAATTTCATAATGGAAACACTATGTAACAGTGTCCATAATATACTTAGAGACAACAAGTACAGTATCGGTACATATTTCATATTAGGAGAGGCTTGAGAAAAGGGAGAAAAAGCTGGATGTTGGGAAACACCTACACTGAAAATGATCGAAGGACAGGAGAATACAAGAGAAAGGGAGCAGAGTTCCATAGTGTCCTTCTTTTGCCTGATCACCCACTTATGGCCACTTGTGACAAAACACAGTTTAGACTCCTGGCCTATCAATTGCTCCCTCCCAAATATAGACCAAACCTTTTATTAATGCTACAAGTGTAGCTTCCTTTTGCAAGTTCCTACAAGTGTACAAGCCTGTTTAAACTTAATATGCTGTACCTGTATATTAACTTGATAATCTGTGGGTCCATGTATAGATCCATATAATCCAAATCCCACTATGGAAATTCTTCTGTTAACTGTGAACCTGGTAAGACACAAGAAAGGAATTCAAACAACTTTGGTGAGTGTGTTACCTTATTTCAAGTAGGGAAAAAACTCCCACTGAAGAGTAGGGAAATAAATTGAGAATGGCATTGCATATTTTTTAAAATAGCATTTTTTATTTAGATTTCAATACTAGGAAAAATGCTTTGCCAGCTTTATAGGTTAAAGCTTTGCTAATTCCTCAAGATATTTAGTATTACTAAACAAAACATAACCGGATTCTTTTCAGTATCTCCAAAATAAAAAGATATCAAGACTTGGCATTTCATAAAGAAATATACATATAACACTCAATCATTCTAGAATGCACCCATTTAGTCCTCCTAAACCTCATTCTTGTTTGTATTTTATGTGTGCAATAGCCTAAGTTATTAAAAAAATGGAAAAGATCAAATGTGTGCAACAGAGCTAGCATGTTTGCTATTGTATCTTATACCAAAAAGTCAAAGTTGAATGATTTGTTCCCTTTCTCCCCACGTCTTTCTGTCTCTCCTTCAAATAGTTTCTGAAGTCCTACCTAATCCGGTCGCTTGTTCCACTGTAGCCCCAGCGACTCTCCACCTGCTGGAACCTGTTAATGCTGCATTCTTTTCCTCTAAGGCAACACCTTGGTCGGTCAATATAATCTACTTTAGGTTTAGGATTGACAGTAAAGTGCAGAAAGAGATTTACTACTTCCCGATCCGACAAGATTCCAGATTGAGCAGGGCCTGTGAAAACATAAAACTTGTAAAACAACTAAAATTATTTGAAGCATTATTCCAGTTGCTGTGTATAAACCACAAATACTCACAAACCAAAGACAACAATAATATCTTCCAATGGCCAGAGCATAATCTGCAGAATGTTTTGCTTTCATTTGTACATCATAACTCTTATTAGTAAAATATTAATGACAGAATTGAGTGTTAAGCATCTAAACAGTTATACAGCACTGAGAGATGGTCTAACAGTAAGACAAAGAATTCCAAAACTCACCTGCTGCAAACTCTTCAATAGTCATTAATGGAAAACGGATTAAGGAAAGAGCTCTTCCAAGGACTTTTTGTTTGTTCCCGAATGTCACCGGCAGTTGTTGTCTTTGACATTCTGCTTCTGCCCAGCGAACAACAGCTCCAAAGAGCCTACTTTCTCGAATACTGAGAGTGTCCCTTTCTAGAACTGCACATAATGTGTCTAAAGAAAAAAAGTTAGCAGCTTTAGATCAGGCCAGTAACAGTGCTACATTATGTAAGCTTAAAATACAAATTACACACTAAGAATATTCATAACAAAACTATTAGCTTTGTCTTATTATACGTTATATGTGTGCACATATTACATATAATTTATCCTACAGAAAAAGTAATCTTTCAATGACACAGAGATTTCAAACTAAAAATTCAATTTCCTGCTATGAAGGCAGGATATGAGCTTTCTTCTTGTTTCCTAAGAGTGTAACTAATCTCCGTAGTGATAACAAATATCCTGAAGAATTCCCATTGCTAAGGCAAGATTGAAACTGAAAATGACCAGTGAATGCACACTACTAAAAACCCAAGTTACTCATGATGACACTAAAAACCCAAGTTACTCACGATGACAGTGTCATACTCTCATCAGGGCAGCCACCTGCCCATCTGGGTCAGCTATAGCCACAAGCAGCAGTGGTACACAAAAACCAGTTTAAAGATACAAGAAAGTCATCTTAAGACCTGATATATTTGCTATCCACAAAGCCTGAAGGTGAAATACAAGATCTGAGGCAAGGTACATTTTAAAGCAACTTATCCTGTATTTTTTACTCCTTCTGGCCTTCTTTGAATAACAGGTATGCACAAATTATCACAGAATACAAGTAAAAAAATTAATGGGTTTTTATATTCTGAATCTTCTGTCTTTGGGAATTTTTATCTGCCTTGAATTTAAGTAAAGCATGTGTGCAGTTAAAGAAAATAGCATATTAGAAAGTCAAAAGAAGATTGAGACAGACCAAGACTAAAGATCACTCACAATATAAGTACAAATCCTACTGAAGATGAGTTAACAATGAATTTAAAACTTCTTTATGCAGTTAAACACTTTCCTCCAGTCTGAATTTTTCCCACAATCTAGCTGAATTGGAGTAAAACCTTAGATACATGTAGTAGCAATGAAATTGGGTAAGTAAATTTACAACTGCTAGCTTTTGATAGAAGATTAAACAGAGAAACCAGCAGTTTATGCATCCATTTTTCAAAGCAGATTTCATTTATTGTACCTGATCTGTGCAACTTTGAATAGATAATTACCATGTGGCAACAGAACAGTGTGATTCCTGTTGCACATGAAAAGCAGGTATAGATGCCTCAGGGATGTGGCACAACCCTCAGCAAGTGAAAGCTTTGGCTTCAATGAAGTGTGGTGTCACCACAGTGTGAGCCCTGGGACACCACCACTACTTAAATGGGGACACCGTGCAGTGGAACCCAGCTCAGGAGTGAAACTCAAAGGAAAGCACTGCAGGGCTGGATGGCCAAGAAGGGAAGAAGTGCTTGGAACTCTGCATACTCAAGTGGAGGAAGGAACTATCCTGGGGTACTGTCATTTCATGCTTAGGACACAAAGAGTGACCTACCTATGTCGATATCTGTAAAGCCTTCTGCACTTATGGCATCCATTGTGCTTTTGTCTATTGTGTCAAGACAAAGACTAGCAAGCTGAGGTTCATCAAACAATCGAGCCTGGAAAGATAAAGAAATACATCTTAAGCATAAAGATGACAAACTGCTAATCTTAAAAAGCAAGCATTTTACCTCTAGTATAGATATAAATTAAAATAAGTTAATTTGTCTAAGCACTCTTTGTTTTTATACCTTAAAGAGCACTTGAAATCTCAAAGGAGTACATCATTAAGGAGAATTAGTAATTTCTCTCCAATTAGGAATTCTCCTAGTAAATCAAAACTAAGCTTAAATTTACCTACTTGAGTAAGCAGCATAAAGGCATTATCTGCTCGGAGATGCTTTGTTAGGAAATCCACACAATGCGCTTCCAGGGCAGGGACTGCATACTTTTTAGCAGTGTATAAAGTAGTCATGACTGTTTCTGGACCAATCTGAACTTCATCTGAATAAAGAAACCTATAAATCAATACACAAATACAGATCATAAAAACATATCTTTAGAGGAGCAGCCAAACACAACAGTCTCTTTGCATTTAGAAAACAGGCCAAAGATTTCCACTGTGAACAGTGCAACAGTTGACCTCATAGCTTTTTTATAAATAAAGAAGGTAAGTTAAAAGGTTCAAGAAAGACTATTATGATAACCTAATGGTATACATTTGTTTTAAATATGTATTACTCCCTAGGACTGATCTGGCTGTACTAGTTATACATAGCTCCCCAACTGTAAACAACAGCTGAGCTGCAGAATTACTTAACCTATGAATGCATGCTCTCAGTTTATCAGGAAAATATCAATGCACAATCCTCTATGGCAATGTTCCTGAAATTAATTTACTGACAGTGCACACTGGCTTCCCCTCCATAAGGGAATAGTGTCAAGGACTTAGACTGTGAGAACATCTTATGTCAAAGTTACCCCTTTGTAGTATTCAGAGAGAAAAGGGAGTACATTCTAGCAGATGACCTTGACTCTTCTATTCCTGTCACTCTTGCTTGTCTCCACTGCTTGAGGCAAGAGGATTGGTTGAGATTTTAGCATCAGCTGTGAACCACAAGATAGGAACCTCCACCAATACCAGGAAAAAATCCTGTTTCCTGAGCAGTTGTTATTTGAGACTGGACAAGGTAAGATTTGTTTTAAGTTTGTATATGGAAAATACAACATTTTAAAAATAACTTTTCTTACAGGTGACATTTAAGATAATTTTAGCAAAATTTCATCAGCCTTTCAGATAACAATCAAGTGTAATCTATGATTTACAAAAGTACATTTGTCCCCAACATACATTCGTCATTAAACATAATAAATCAGGGCACACTAGTGAATGAAAGAATTCCACAATGAAAACCAAGTCTTTCCATTATATTTCTTAGTATTTGTTGTTCAGAACATCCTGAAAATTAATTACACACAGAGACAGGTGTGTTTAGAAGGGTTTTTAAATGTAGCAATCAGTTTGTATCTAACAAGAGAAACTTGTAAAAATAACACTCTTTAAACTTCCTTGCAACATGGAGAAATTGAAGTAATATAAACCCAGAATTAAAGTTTCAACTGAAATGTCACTGTTTATATTTCTTATATTCCAAGAAAACTCTAATGCTCAGTAGTTGCGAACACACAACTAAATACAGTGTTCAGCATTAAATTTGCTGCCACAACACAGGTACATATTTACCATTAAGAGACTCCAGTCTATTCAAACAGCCAGCTTGCACATCACTTTGGAGATGTGAAAGATGCTCTAATTATTTTTTTTAAACTGGATTTAAATTAAACAATGTTTAGGAAGAATTAATTTAATTAAATGCTAACTTTTTTTTTTTTTTAAGTTTCACACAGTTCACTTAGAACTGATTTATGAAAGCTATGAACTATTATTACCTGTTAATGAAAACGATGGGCTGACTTGTTTGTCAGAACTCTTGACAAATTTACTTTTAACAAACAAATATTTCACAGGTGCACTTTTGCATACTAAATTGACAAGTTTTCTTCATTAAAGCACTAAAACAGTACATTTACTTTTTGGTTCTAATATTTAAAATAATCACTTTAAAATGCTGTAACTTTTGTGGTATGACTTTATAGGAGCTTCAAGTCCAAATCATGTGAAAGTTGATTACCAGGCTGTAAAAAAAAGCAATGTTGCCATACAAACTACAGTATGCATTTTACCTAACAAAAAAACCCCAAATCCCAAATTGGTTTTGGAACATGATTTTGGTTTTATTCCTCAAGTGAATCCAATGAAGCAACACACCAGAGGGGATCATCTGCCTTGTGTTTTACTTTCTGCTGTACCTTCCAAAGAAACAGGGTGCAGTCCTAGGTGTGTCTTGCCTCTAAAAATCCCCTGCTCATACGTGCCACGAGTTCTCTGTGTTAACTCTCCCCTCTGTGGCACGCCTGAACTAGCACAGCTTTATGTTTCACCACTGTGCCTCCTCCACTTAACTCAGTGGGACTGACAATCACTTCTCCTTCCCCCCTGCCTTCTTCCCTCTCTCTTTCCCTTTGAGACAGAAACAACCTAATTTTATTGGCATCCAGGATGAGGGAACGGGAAGCTGGGGGTGTAAGTGCATAGTGGAAGAGCATTTTTAGTGACAAGAACAAACAATTTTTCTAAGTGACCAATCAATCATTCACTCTATATAAGCCTCTCATACATTTTATGCTACTTTTCTTTACTCTCAGGTTACCCTTGTGTGAGCATCCTCTCAGTAGCTGAAATGTTTTCACCATTATAAAAGCACAGAGGAATCTTTTTTTCAAGTTAGTCATGATTGCCCCTTTATTTACTGCATGCCAAAATTCTCTGAAAAGATTTTTGGAAGACAAACTGCTAACTTGTGCCATATCATCACTTTCCTTTATTCTGTGATCAAAGGACAAGTTAGCTTGTTGTAAAATATGAATGAAAATTAAAAATAACAAACTTAGCAGAACCCTACTGAGACAACTTGAATTTTCTTGATTGTTGCTATTCAATTTGTAGTTAGAAACAGTTGTTTCATTGGGAAATATATTCAAATCTTGTGACTTTGATATTATTTCAGCTCTTAAGGATTTATCTGTCAAACTACTTCATTTTTTTTATAAAAAAATATTTCCCTTTAATTTACAAGTAGCATTTGTCAGTAGATCTGCATGAAACACAAACTACAGACATGACTTAACAAACTACATGAGTAAATAAAATGGAAATTTAATATTAAAATTTAATATTAAAAATAAATATTAAATTTAAATAATTAGCAAATTATGCCTAGAAAGTTTTGCATTACTTAAACATTTCCTTTATTTGATGCTCATTTGTTATGTGTATTCAAAGATCCTGACTTAATTTCTAGCCAATATACCTCAAACTGGTATTTACAAACATTAAAGAAATGCCCTGTGAAAGGTAACTATCATTATCTGAGTGATTTACTAATGATAGATAAAAGAGGCCAACAGTACAAGGTATCACTCCTGCCCCTTTCAGTCAAGAAAAGACCCCACGTTGTTCCCAGCACGGAAAAAGTCTATTACTGGCATGTATTACAGAAGTTCTCCCTTCATTATACATATTGCAATGTATATTTATTTCAATATAAATTCAAAGAAATATACATAGCGTGGAAGAATGTCCTAAAGAGCTGGCATAGACAGCACACCTGAGAGGTTTCAGCAGTCCACCAGTGTGGTGATGTTCTGACAAGATACAAACACAATCAGTTTACTGACGCAAGTCCCCTGGTCATGACACACTGGCAGCCCTACCAACACAAGATGCTTTTGTTTGCTTCTAACAGCATCTCTTCATTCACTTCCACAGTGTTCAAATACCATCCTTCTTATCTTTATTTAGAAATCTCCGTTTCTGTGTTTCTGTTTTTACCCAAACTTCTCTTATTATATCCACTTTCCACCGTCCAGTGTTTTTTGCCACATATACATAGCCAAACGCATACATGTGCACTGTCATTTACTTTTAACCTTTGAAATCAATTTGCTTGAAAGATACTTCCCACTACCTCTCGCTCCTCTGCACAAAAAAATGCACAGAATGCCAACAGCAACAGAAGGACATTGCATCTGCATGGGGGTCTGTTGGGTTTTGTGCACATCACTTGCTTTAACTCCTGTGCCTGTGACTACCTAAGGAGCAGGTGACCCTTCTAATTTTTCCTATCTTCTAGGCCTCAGCAAAAGAAGAAAGTTGCCAAGGCTTTGGAGTTATTCCTATTACAAAAATCTTTGAGACACTACATATTTATTTCCAGACAGTATTACTTTTCACCCTAATATTCATTACAGAGAACTGTTTTATATATTTTATAGTTTATATTTTTTGCCTAGCAGAGTGGTTTCTTTGATAAAAACCTTAAAGTTATGCAGTTTAGTTGTATTACCACATCACAGCCCGAGGTACAAATAAACTATTAGTAATTGTTTCTATGAACACCATAAATTTTATTTGCCACTACACTGAGTAAAGAGAAATTATAGGCAAACTCATCAGTTTTGTGAGCATGCAAACTAGCGGCTCCTATTCTGCCCAAATTAGAAATCACTGACACACTTTAGATCCTTTTTGCTATCACTGTGCTCCCAGTCTCATACTCAGGAAGTTCTGGGAGTAAAAATCAGCTGGTTACTGCCTTCTGCTGCATGTTCCCTCTCTGCCCAAGTATGATTACAATGGGTGTCATTATGGCAAAAAGATATAACAACTTACTATCATCGCTGACAAAGAAAAGTGAACAGGAAGATGACTAAGACTTCAAAGTAAGTATCAAATTTCAAAGTAAGTATCAAATGAAACTAAAAGCTTGGTACAACAGCCTCTGTCTCTTCTTAGTTACTATTAGAAGATGGCTGGATAGTTGCCATACCAAGGGGGCCCACTAATTCCCATCATTTTACTTTAACAAACCGAAACACTGAATCCAAGAGCCCAACCAGACACCCACCGAGTGCTTCCCTAAACGGACAGTCAGCTGCTATGGAATTAGGGCAATTCTCTTGGGAAAAGAGTGCAGGGTAAAGAGCGAGAAGGGACCAAAACACGTTGGAGGGGCGGTGTGACCTTGCGTGGAGCCCACAAGATATTTCCGCGCCTTCCGTGCATGTCCCTGCAGGGACGGGCAGTAGGGACAGGCCGGGTTCTGTGGGGACAGGCGCCGGGAGGGGCCGCGGAGCGAGGAAAAGGCACGGGCGGCCAAGCGGGGCCGCGGCGCGGAGCCCCCTCCGTGCGCGGCCGCCCCCGCCCCGCGCTGACCTGAGGAGCGCCAGGAAGGCGGCGGGCTCCACGTCGGGCAGCTCGATCTCGGCCGAGGTGGTGGCCATGCCGCCGTTGAACATCGCGTC